ATTTTAGACCCGTATAGACGAACTTACAAATAGATTAGCTAGAATCGAGACCCCAACTCAAGTGGTTCAGTATGAGCCGGTTACAATTGAACCAAATGTATTGTGTGACGAATCCTTAGACCTGGTAAAGACCATGCCGGAATTCAAGGGTGATCCTATCCGTTATGTCTCATGGCGGCAAGCAGCTCACACTGCGTATAAGGTATTCGAGGGATTCCAAGGTAGTTCCAAACACTACCAGGCACTAGGCATCATAAGAAATAAAGTAGTAGGGGCGGCAGATAGTGTGCTTTCATCCTTCAACACAGTCCTAAATTTTAAGGCAATTATTTCACGGTTAGATTTTGCATATGCCGATAAAAGGCCTATCCACCTAATTGAGCAAGAGCTATCCACCTTAAGACAGGGTAAATTATCAGTGGTAGGGATTTACGATGAGGTCGAAAGGAAGCTGACCCTAATAATAAACAAGACGATCATGACTCACGGTGGAAATACCACCCTAATAGAATCTCTCAATAGTAAATACCGCGAGGACGCTCTCCGTGTTTTTATTTCGGGGCTCAATCGTCCTTTATGCGACATACTATTTTCTTCCAGACTTAACGATCTTCCCTCCGCTTAGGCTTTAGCACAGGAGCTTGAATCAAACCAAGCTAGGTCCATGTTTGCCCAGTCCTTTAACAGGCAATCAATTTAGAATCCCAGGCAGTATCCGTATTTACCACAGTAGCGAGCGATCCAACCTGACCAACAACGACAAAATCAGACACAAAGGGCCGTACCAATGGATGTAGACCCATCGCTCTCAAGGTTCAGACAGAACAAACCTCAACCAGTAAATGGTAATAATGGGAGGTTCCATCAAGGAACCTATCCAAGGGCTCCTAATCCAAATATTGGCAACCCGAGTGACTTGTCTAAACGAAACACCACCCCCCTCAGCAGGGAACGGCCAGAGAAAAGACCGCACGGGAGCGACCAGAAGGCATTACAAAAAGTTCAAAGGATAAATAACCTTACTCAGGAGCAGGACGATCCTGAGGGAGAATATTGGAATAATGCCAGTTACGACAATTATTACCAGAGCGAGGGTTACGAAGGATGTAACCAAGTTGAATACCAAGGCGAAGACGAAACAAATGACGATGTGAATTTTTAAGGACAAAATACCTCTTGCCCTATATCGAGCGAACAATCGGGGGAAGAGGTATAAAATTCCTTATTGACACTGGGGCTTCGAAGAGCTACATAAAACAACTCAGCGACCTAAGGGGAGTCAAACCCGCAAACCGCACCTTTACAGTCAAATCTATCCATGGCACCACTAGAATTGACAAGTATTGTATAATCAACATTTTTAATAAAAATACCAGATTTTTTATCCTACCCAGCTTAGACACCTTCGACGGTATCATAGGTTTTGACCTATTAACGGAAGTAAACGGTAAAATAGACTGCAAAAGTGGACTTCTTAGTTATGACGGTGGACGGGAAAAACTCTTCCATCACTATTGCCCGGATGTTAATAAATTAATAGAAACGAACGTGAGCAAGTTGGATATTTCCGCGCTATTGCAACAACATGCTAAAGTTTTCGCGGACCCCAACGAAGCTTTACCCTATAACACCAATATTTTAGGAACAATAAGGACCACCGATGACCTTCCAGTTTACTCAAGGAGCTACCCATACCCCATAGCTTCAGCCGAGTTTGTCAATAAGGAGATTTCGAATCTCTTGCGTGACGGTATAATAAGACCATCCCGCTCTCCTTATAATAATCCGATTTGGGTTGTAAGTAAGAAGGGCGTCGATGAGGACGGTAATAGGAAGTCCAGACTCGTGATTGACTTTCGAAAACTGAACAACAAAACAGTGAGTGACAAGTACCCGATTCCGGACACTTCTGTAATTTTGGCTAGCATTGGAAATGCCAGGTTCTTTTCAACAATAGACCTCAAGGCATTTTCGGTCAATAACGGCAAGTACGAATTCTGTAGGCTTCCCTTTGGCCTAAAAAATGCTCCCAGCATTTTTCAGAGAGCCATTGATGACGTATCAAGAGAGGAAATCGGTAAAATATGCCACGTCTATGTGGACGACGTCATAATTTTTTCAGAAATCGCTGAGCAACATTTAAAGAACATAGACCTGGTACTACAAAAACTTTACGCCGCTAATATGCGGGTGTCCGCCGACAAGTCCAAATTCTTTCAAGCAAGTGTCGAGTTTTTGGACTTTACAGTATCCAAAGAGGGTATCAAGACATGCCCCGATAAAGTGAGGGATATTTTGGACTTCGCTGTCCCCAAATCATTAAGAGCCTTACGATCATTCTTGGGGTTGGCTGGCTATTACAGACGATTCGTAAAGGACTACGCTGCGATTACAAAGCCCCTAACAAAATACCTACGTGGGGAAAATGGAAATATCGGTGCTAACCAATCCCGGAAAATAGAAATAACATTAGACGAAGAAGCACTTAACGCCTTTGGTATAATTAAAAGGATTCTTGCATCAGAGGATGTACTGCTCCTTTACCCAGACTACAAGCAGCCCTTTGACTTGACAACGGACGCCTCTTCACATGCCATAGGCGCTGTTTTGTCACAAAACGGCAGACCTATCACTATGATCTCGGGAACTCTGTCTAAGACAGAGGAAATCTATGCGACCAATGAAAGAGAGCTCCTGGCGATTGTATGGATTCGTAACTACCTATACGGCGTAAAACACTTGAACATCTATACAGATCACCAACTGCTCACCTTCGCTTTGTCCGACAAAAACCCAAATGCAAAGATGAAAAGGTGGCGCGCTTTTGTTGAAGAGTACTCACCAAAGTTCCACTACAAACCAGGTAAAGAAAACTTTGTCGCCGATGCACTTTCCCGGCAACACATAAATACACTGGACAACGAGGTGGACACAGGAAATATGGCCACCAACAGCGAATTGTCACTAACTCAAGCAATACCTACAGTAAAAAACCCCATTAATTGTTTCCAAACTCAGATTAGAGGGCAGCAAATTACCGGTTAGCACGTCAATTCTTTTTAAGGCACGAGTGAGGCATCGAATATCTTTTAGTAACCTACAAGATTTATTGAAAGCCATGAAACAATGTGTAAATCCGAATGTTGTTAACGGGCTGCTATGCGAACTCTCTACTTTGGCACTAATCCAAAACGAGCTTACCACATCTTTTCCAGGGGTAAAGTTCCGCCACACTACAAAGCAGGTTATCGACGTTTTTAATATGGAGGACCAAAAAGAGAAATCCTCCAAAGCGAACATAATCGTGCACATAGATCCTGTCGCGAAAATGAGCAGCAAGTCCTGGAAAATTACTACTTTCCTGGCTTAAGGAAAATCCTAAAAGAACTAGTTTCAAATTGCAAAATATGTCATGAAGCAAAATACCAACGACGTCCCCCAAACCCCGAAATAGGATCAACCCCCATACCTTCATACCCAGGGGAAATCCTTCACGTTGACATTTATTCAACAGACAAAAAACATTTTCTCACAACAATAGATAATTTCTCAAAATTTGCAATGGTTTTTCCAATAAAATCCAGAGCCATAGTGGATATTAAGGAACCAATCTACGAACTCCTCAACTTTTACAAAAACACTAAATTTCTGGTTTGCGATAACGAGAGGTCACTGAATTCAGAACCTATTAGAGCAATCTTAAAAAACCACATCGGAGTCACCATCTACACCACGCCACCGGCTCACAGTACGACGAACGGCCAGGTGGAGAGGTTCCACAGTACACTTACGGAAATTGCACGCTACCAAAAGCTCGACACTTGCATTTCCGACACGGTCGAATTAATTCTGCTAGCAACGGCTAAGTACAACCGCACCGTCCATTCCGTGACAAACAGGAAACCTATAGATATCATCCATGCAGCGCCAGACGAACTGGTTAACGAAATAAAGAATAGACTTATACAAACCCAACAAAATGACTTAAAAAGACACAATATAAAGAGACGAACAAGACAATATAAACCAGGGGAAAAGGTTTTTGTGAAGACGAATAAGAGAATAGGAAACAAATTCACTAAACTTTACACCGAAAAAACAGTCCAGAGCGATTTAGGTACCTTTGTTTTAATCGACGGACGTAAAGTTCACAAAACCAACTTAAAACACTGAAATTTTTCCTTCCTTCTTAGGGTAACTCTGCTCTTGACAATAGATCATTGGGCCAATGCGAGGATATTCAATTATACCAGCTCCAACTACATCCCAATAACAACAGGGAAAGTGATCCTCCACGAACACTATGAGTTTCTACTCCACAAGACAAACTTGACAGAATTCGAAGCGATAGCGGAAGGGACGGACGCAATATTGGAGCAATTTCCCCTTTCTCACGCCAGGCAACTTCTCCGAAACGACGCTAACGAAATATTAAAACTACTAGACGCGGTAAGAATACATCACCGGCATGCCCGAGGCATTAATATCTTAGGGACTGCATTAAAGTACATAACCGGCACCCCAGACTTTGATGACTTCTAAACAATTGAGACCAGAGCCGAAGCCCTAATAGAAGCAAATGAACAGCAGGCAATGATTAATTCAGTTACACGAGGGAAAATTAACGAACTGACAGTGACAGTTAATAAACTTTTAGCACAGGCAAAACGGACGCAGATCGACACGGGAAATCTCTTTTCTTTAGTCAGTACTAGAAATAGAGCAGTGATAATGGAGTTAGAAACCATTATAACATCAGTAGCTCTGGCAAAAGTAAATGTTATTAACCCCATTCTGCTTAATGGCATGGAAATAAACAATAAATTAGCTGCTGAGCTCTCTACAAATACCAGTATAACTGACATACTTTATGTTTCTAAATTTAAGATATTTCAGAATTCACAGTTTATTTATTTCATTATTAAATACCCAAAAATAGCTAGGATTTGTAATAACGTAAAGTTACTAACCGTTATCCAAAATGGAAGAATTTGGAAACAAATGTTATAGCTGAATGCAACGGAGAATACATCCCCCTTTATAATTGTAGAGAAGCCATAACAGCAAACTTCTGCCGACCCTTGAAAGAAAGTCCCTGTGTACGACAACTTCTTAACCAACATTCCGCAAAATGCAAATCCAAATCTGCCGATCACGTGCCCGCAATTGAGGAGATCGACGACGGCATAATTTTAATTAATGACCAGCCCGCGATAATACAAAACGAAAATTTGACAAGATTGACTAGAGGAACTTTTTTGATAACATTCAAAGGCGATATTACAATAAACACCACCACTTATAACAACTGGAATGAAGTAATGCGTTCACATCCCGAAGCGGTACCCACACAGCACTTTAACTTCACCGAACATATCGAGTTATTATCACTTCAACACCTACAAAGAATTAATATGAAAAACCTTAAGCACATAGCACACCTACGGAATCTTATTGATACTCGCTCAATACAATCAGGAAGCGCCTTGCTCTTAATCCTATTAGCCATAGCTACAAGCATAACAATATTTCTGAGGAGACGGCAAAGAAATATGGTAGTACTGAAGAATATCATAAAGGAAACCGCGGACGCTTTCACTTCAAGAGGGGGAGTAGTTAACACAGGTAACCACTCATCCGGCCAAAACACCGCTTCGACCGAATTTGCTGACGGCGCGTCTATAGCTTTGCACGTAACAACAAGCAAAAGTTCAATACCGCTTCTATAACGCATCCGGCCAAAACACCGCTCCCACCGAATTTGCTGACGGCGCGTCTATAGCTTTGCACGTAACAACAAGCAAAAGTTCAATACTGCTTTAATAACTCATACGGCCATTCTGCCGACGAGACACTTATAGTCTTGCGCGTGGCAACAACAAAACAAATGCAAGACAATAAGCGGAATTGGCCCAGCAATTGCAAGTGCAGAAGTCACGCGGCTAATAATGTGCAGTAACTGAAATTAGGGCAAGAGTGTAGGTATTTAGACGCTAGCGTCGCTTTTATGTAATCAGTTATTTCAACTCATCCGCTGAGACCGGAGACCGGAGAATCTTAATCATAACTAAGTGGTTAAATCTTACTTGTATATTAAAATGCAATGACGAACGAAAGAAATGGCAATTCAGCATAGCAACAAAAAAATATGTAAGCAACCAAACCATTCGTTCAATTAATCAATATTTTTGTATCTTAACACTAGGAGATTATGTACAAATTTTTGATTAAGTACTCACATTTATAGAGGGTGCTCCACCGATATTTGCGCAACAGCTTGTAGTTCTTTTTTTGTTTTTGTTTGTTATTGGTGATTAATATGCATATATACGAAATTATCGCTGGCTTAGACTACGGTGATTACAACTTAGGTTCTAAACTAATTCATATGCAAAAGTGCATTTGTAGGTCTTCTTGCAAATGTAAATCAGAAAAAAAAATTAGAATAGAAAACTTTGGATATGATTCAAAAACATGAATAAAACTCTAAAGGGATAACAAGTTAGTGTTTAAAGGAAGGAAATGTAGGAAATAAGTATCGCCTTCATGCATTTTTTTACGTAGTTAAGCAAAGCTCTTTTGAGATTTTCCTCTTTTTTTCCTCTTTACAAAATGCCAGGCGCTAGTTCAGGAAGTTAGCTTTGCGTACATATGCATTCGTGTATAAATAGTATATATTTTACGCCACTTTAAGAAATTTTCATGCGTTCGCATAATAGGACCGCGAGGGGGTTGTCTGTCCTAGGAGAGCCGAGGGAAAGCTGTTACGCGGGTGAAATCCCTTTTTTCTTCGTTTTCCAGTAGAACTTGTACCAAAGAATTTGTTCGCGCGAGAAATAATCTATGTATGTAAGATTTTATACTCGTCTGTTGGTCAATCTTCACATACAATACAGGGGAAAATATGGTATCGCTGGTGGGACGAATTTTTGAGGAATCCTCTCCCTACTGTGAGGTCCACGTGGAGGGGGACCTGATCACCTAAGGATTGTAGTAAAACTTAGAACCTGGAACTTTTAATTATGAAGAGCACCGACTTACATACCTTATGACTACAAAGTTTGGTAGCCTTTATTTCTGTTAGACTAAAGGATGTACAACGGAATAAGTTTCGGTGGATAATGGATATGATTTCCTCTGGAAATCCGCCCGATTGTGCCTCAAGCACGTGGAAACGGAAAAAGTTGTATTTCTTAAAAAAAAAATAATAATTTTGGAAAGAGTATAACACTATCGCCCTGCCAGCGCTTAGAGCAGTTGACTAATGATATAATTTAATGAAAACTTATCGCGATTGAATAGGAAAATTCTGATTCACTTACTCACCAATTTTTGGGCAAGTTTCCCACTTGTGGCTCGCTGTAGATTCTTAGAGCAAATGGCCGAGGCAATAATCATGCCAAACAATGACACTTCTACTTCTCTATCTTCCCAGTAGTTCTGACAGGGGTTTAGGCAGTGTTGGGTAACGTAAAAAAAAATGTTTGCTAATTACTTTAATAACTGTGGTGGTTTGAGACAGTTTATCAAGTGGAAAATATATATATATTTCTGAAATCATTCCCGGTGTTGGAGTAAGGGTTTTCCAAACATATTAAAGGAGTACACATGTCAATATTCCAGGGTCTAGTACGTCACCAGCCATCACAAACCAGGTTTTAAAGATGTTGTAATGATACAGCGTCTTTAAAAGCTGTAAAATGGCGATACGGTAGGATTTATCTAAGTGGCTGCATATCTTTTGCGTGAAACGTTCCTAATGATTTACCTGACATATCCTCTAGCACGTAGCAAGATCTTCCTACTTCTTCTGGAACTCTGGCTTTCAAAAACGTTTTTGCTAACTTGCTGTTAAATTTCTCTGAAGCTTTACTCAAGGTGAAATTCCGACGCAAAACTTTCTTACCAATATTGAACGTGACAGGTCGAGAATGTAAATTGTATCTCTTGGAATTCCTTTCATATGCTTTTCGAATATTTTCACGTACCGAATCTCTCACAAGGGCTAAGTTGTCATGCCTACTGGCTTGACTTTCAACTTTACCATCATTTATCATGTTGATATTTCGTAGTAACTGGTAGTCGTTTCCATGCGTTATCATGTTCTGACCGAATACAACAAAATACGGGGACTGGTTGGTGGTTTGGTGGATAGAGTTCCTCAAACCACAATTAATACTGCTCCGGTGCAGATCCCTCTCGCGCTGGTCGTTCTTGACATACGCACGAAGTGCAGCATTGATTGAGCGATTAGCCCGCACTGAGCTATTGCTCTGTGGTGAATATATCGCCGTATAAATATGCTTAACCCCATATGAGCCAATTTACACGACGACTTTTCATCCCTCGTTTTTTGCACGTTCCCTTTTAAAAAATTCTTCGAAAATCCTCGTGCATTTACACGATGACTTTTTCTTTGCGGCGTTTCTTGCATTTTTTTGACATTTCAGCGTCAAATTTTCTTTGTTCAACTCTTTCGTCCTCATTTTTAAAGCGGAGCGAATCGCGAACTCAAAGCAAAAATATGAAAAAGTGAACTCGATAAAAGCGAAACGTCAAAAAAATCCTTTGATTTTGCTCACCGTGCGTGCTTGCCTACCCGGCTGACTTCGCTACACTTCTTGCCTACAAGCTCGACACGCATGACTTTCCACCCAGGGTGAATAGTCATCGTGTAAATTCGCTCTATCTCTTAAGGAAACCTACGAATTCGTGCGAACGAAACTGGCTACCGTTGTTGCTGACGATGAATTCAGGAACACCGAATGTATCGAACACCTGTTGTTTTAAGTAGTTAGTTATAGGTAAGGTGGTAAACTTATTCAATGGACATAAGAAGGTGAACATCGACATGTGATCGAGCACAATTAAAATACCGATATGGCCGCTTTCGGATCGGGGAAATGACCAAATTAGACCTACGTAAAGCCTTAGAAATATTCGTTCCGTTGGTGTAAGCCCCCCCATGGGAGGTCTGAGCACTTCGGTGGTGTGTTTTGTAGTCTTACAAATCTCACAACCTGAAACATAATCCCTAACTGAGCGGTAAATAACTGGCCAATAGAAAAAACTTCTAATTCTCTCTACGGTTTTAGCGACTCCACCATGAGCAGCTGTGTCCACGTTATGTGCGTTAAACAAAACTTAATCCCGCAATCCTTTTGGCACAACAAGCTTCCATGCGGCTTCTTGCTGTTCTTCATTCCCACTGTAAAACTCAGAGCGATGATAAATATATTTATCCACCACCTTAAAGTCGGGAAAGCGATATTCTTCGTGCTTTAGTTTTTCTCTCAGCTCCGAGAATTCTGCAGTGTCGAATTCGGGTGAGTTCAGGTCTATATCAGGAACATTTTCACAAGGTAGCGTTAGCACATCTAAATAAAATATTTCCTGTCGCTTCAATTCATAATCTTTTAAACGGCGTTGAAGTGAACGAATCAGGTATACTGGTATATCTGATGGTGTCTTATTATTAGTATTTTTAAGTATCTTTGTCGGAGGTTTTAATTCGAGGTCGGTTTGGGATGCCTGCTGGGGCATTGTAGACACCCCTTAGTTTGTTTTTCGGATCATTACAATTCGGGCAGTTTGGTAAGAAGAACGCAAGTAAACCACATCCATAGCAGAATACTCTACGAGGTTCAAGGCATTGCTTATAACTATTTATGGCCGGTAAATCGCAGTTCCAACATTTCTTCCCAATCGCTTCTACGCTTGACGCTTCTACTGGATCAATCGAGTCAATATCCAAACTTGCACTTCGATTGGCTTGCAGTACTTCAGCTATTTGTCGTTTTTGCGGAATTTGCGGTCTCTAAAGACTACTTTTAACTGTTTCGAAAAAATTTTCGCGTCGCCTACAGGCGCGCCGTAATTGATGTTATATCTAAGTGAAGTAACTCCAAGCGTATATTCGGAAGCAAGTTACGAATAAGTGTTTCCACTAGCTCTTGTTCTGACATTGGTACTCTTAAACTATCACTCAAGGTCATAACAGCTTCTAAAAACTGTTCAAATCTTTCTCCAAGTTTCTGTTTCCTATTTTGTATCCTTTCCTTAATATCGTAATCTGTTCTAACATCCTTAAAATGGCTCTTTAACGCATCACATAAATCGAACCAATCCAGAGCTTACACTGAATGATGATATCTTCAATACCAGTTTTTTGCTTTTCCTTCGAAAAGTACGTGAGCGTTTTGACAAAGAGCATTGAAATAGCCTCGCAATTGTAATTGCGACGGCGACACATATTAGGCGGTGAACGAGTATCGTCTTGTATAGACCTATCAGGTGGATTACTATTTGCAGCCCTAGATCGTGTTATACGACCTCCTGCGTTCGAGTTGTTATTTCTGGGTACTGCACCTTGAGAAGATGCATTCTCCATACCTGGTCGAAGTTCGTGTTCGGAGAACTTTCTCAGGGACTGAGTCTCAATAGTTCTACGGCACAAAGGACAAGAAACGTTGTCGGTTAGCCATATCGTTAGACACGATCGGTGAAAACCGTGCATACAAGGCGTAGACATAAAATTGAAGTTTGTGGTTTCCTCGTTGCAAATGGCACAGGTGTCACCAGGAGCAGCGAGATTAGCTCAATTTTCTTCAGTATGGCGTACTGACAATTTGGCTTTCCTCACAACTCACTGAAAAAATGATGCAGTTCTACGGAAGTTTTTATTCTTCTTTGTTTAAAGAATCTACAAAAAAATGTATGTTTCTATAATCTGAATATGTTTACTAAGTCTTGTAAGTTGATGTAAGTCGTGGGGTGCATAAAATGTTTTTTTTTTTTATATAAATTTGTAAACGCACACTAGAAGATTAAAAGGCAGCTGATGCAAATTCTAATTATATCTCATTTACTATTTAACATTCAAGCATTAACCCATAAACGCATTAAGGAATGTGAAAAGGGTAAATGAGAACTCCTACAAATAATTCAGGCATACTAACTGGTAGAATGTACTCATAAAACATAAATACACCCTATTCCAAGAATGCTTAAAACCAGAAGGTACTTGAGGACGAGATTTGCTAACTTTTGCGAGTAGGTTAGATGGACGACCAAACGCATCCAAACTGATTCCGCGCTCATCAAAACTAGCATTGAACAAGTAAGAAAGTCTAAGTTCGGGCGGAGCCGAACATTAAATACCCGGCGCAAGTATTAAATATATGTTTTTTCACCTTTCCGAAAGCTACCGCTAGATGGTAAGCCGGGGTGTATCAATTTTGAGTAAATTAGCGTCCTTAAATTTCAAAATATTGAAGTTTCAAGCATTTCTTAAATTTACCGTTATATGAAAAGCGGCCGTAATTTTAGTTCGATTTCGATAATTTTCAACGTTTTGCTTCTATGTGGCAAGCACAATAACCACACCGAGTTTGGTACAAATTGGTAAAACGGTTACCGAGATACATTTATGTGATCATAAGTGGGCGGTGCCACGCCCATTTTGATGTGGGCGTGTTTATTGTCCGATTTTAAAAATTTTCAGCCATTTCGTATGTTATATCAAGGTTAACAACTGTGCCAAGTTTGGAAGAACTTGGTGCAGCGGTTACCAAGATATACACATGTAAACATAAGTGGGCGTGGCTACGCCCATTTTCCAAAAATTTATAATATTCTTATTTTTCGTCTAAAACTTATTGTAAATATCAATTTCGAGTGAATAATCTTCAGTAGTTACTAAAATATCGCAGTTTTGGTATTTCTGAAAATTACCGTTATATGGGAGGTAGGTGTGGTTATTGTCCGATTTTGTCCATTTTCAATACCATCCGTCGTACGCCTGAAAGAAGTGCACATACCCAGTTTCGTTAAGATATCTCAATTTTTACTCGAGTTATCGTGTGCACAGACGGACGGACGGACAGACAGTCACCGCTTAATCGATTTCTCTTTTCATCCTGATCATTTATGTATACATTTGTCTATATCTATCTCGATTCGTTTTGCCTGTTACAAACAACCGTTATGTGAACAAAGTTATAATACCCTTGTGCACAAGTGCGCTCGGGTATAAAAAGAACAATTATTGGAAGCTCCAAACATAATATTTTAAACATCACGTCGAGGGCCCCACGTTGGGCGCCATTTATATATGTATATATTTTCATGGACCGACACTAGGGAGCTCGGAGCGGGCGTCCATGCTTCCGTTATCCAGGCTTAGTCGCTCGGGAATGTCGGGGTTCTTGCTCCTAGCAATCCACCCTAGTATGTACATATATAAAAGTATTTCATGTACTTCACGGAACGAAACCGAATAGAACATTCATTCATAAAAAACCAGAGAATTTGCACTGAGCTTATATTGATTACATACGGACGGACTCTCTATACTAGCATAGTAAAACCAGGCGGACTATGAACAGCAAAAAAAAATTTGGAAACCAAGAGAAACTCTATGTATACATAGGCTGATCCTAACAAAAAAAAAATACTATGCGAAAGACAATATGCGTAAACAAATAAATACATTATACCTCAGAGTGGAGGTCTCTGGTGTTGTCCGCCTTCTTTTGTACTCTCACTCTCTGCCCTACCATCGTATTGAGATTTGACGCCAACCTCTCCCATCCCCAACCACAGCCAACCCACGACTACATAACTAACTCACAAGACTCATTTACACGGCTTTACTCTTTATTCATTATTTAGTATAACTACATCATCATCTCTTGTTTCACAAAAAGGAATAAAACAAAGAGTGTTTTTACAACAATTTCTGTCCCTAAAAATTTTCGTATACCTGCATGCACAAATGTACTGACACTATATTGTTTATTCATAAATGACTTTGTGTACATACTTATGTGGCTAGGCAAATGCATATCTGTATGAAAGTTAACACAGGTAACCACTCATCCGGCCAAAACACCGCTTCGACCGAATTTGCTGACGGCGCGTCTATAGCTTTGCACGTTATAACAAGCAAAAGTTCAATACCGCTTTAATAACGCATCCGGCCAAAACACCGCTCCCACCGAATTTGCTGACGGCGCGTCTATAGCTTTGCACGTAACAACAAGCAAAAGTTCAATACTGCTTTAATAGCTCATACGGCCATTTTGCCGACGAGACACTTATAGTCTTGCGCGTGGCAACAACAAAACAAATGCAAGACAATAAGCGGAATTGGCCCAGCAATTGCAAGTACAGAAGTCACGCGGCTAATAACGTGCAGTATCCGAAATTAGGGCAAGAGTGTAGGTATTTAGACGCTAGCGTCGCTTTTATGTAGTCAGTTATTTCCACTCATCCGCTGAGACCGGCTGCCCTTGGTAATCCAAGGGAAATAAAGAATCTTAATCAAAACTAAGTGGTTAAATCTTACTGGCGCCCAACGTGGGGCCAAGCGAATAAAATCCTTATATAGGACACGCGTGTTTGGCCGTGGGTTCGGACCCACCTCCTAAAAAGAAATAGACTCACTCAGAACTACAAGTGCTAAGTTTAAAAAAAAAAA